AAGACCAACATATTATATATATAATTATTTAATAATTATAATTAAGTTTACATTATAACTATATCATTATTGTTATAAATTTCGTATAACTTGAATGGAGGATGTAATATAGAGCCATCATCAGATGTTATTAGATTTAATGCATTTACAATAATAGAAATACATAAGGCGGTACATATTATACCCAAAACAAACAAAATATCATCTAGAGATATTTGTGTTTCAGTAATTTTATTCTAGTATAGGTCATCTATCGATCTTCAGCTACTCAGGGACCATCGAAGCTTCCCAACCCAGTTGTGGCGAGCTTGTTAACCAGAGCCAGAGCATTGCTGGTAAAATAAGTAGTATTCAAGACTCGATTCTGCAGCATCCTCAATTCCTTTCTACTCAGACAGTCAGTGCCCTTTAAACCTTCCAAGCAAGTGTCTTCATCCGTAAGCACCGCGCTCAGCCACGTCGTCAAGTCCTCGATCTGCTCCTCGAAATTCCTCGCATTAAGCTTCCTTAGCACCGCTAATGACTTGTGCAGCTCGTCCACGGCGTTTCCAAAGACCTCCACGCAGTCCGACAGAGCCACTCCTTTTCTCCCAATCACATGTTTGGATTTCTTCAGCTTGGTTAAGTATTGTGCCACTTCCTTGACCTCAGCCAGGGTTACTGAAACCCCCGCCCGAGCCCACTTGCTCGGACTTCTCTTCGCAATGTGTGAAAACGGAGCCAGAGAGTGGATGCAGAGGTCTTGGTATCTCGTAACAGAGCATGCATCCCTGACATAGTCGTTTGCTTTTCCAAATGCCGACCCACCCAAATTCAAAATGCAAACAAGGAGAGAAAATGAGAGGAAAATCTCCGTCCTTTCCATGGGAAATTTTCTAAGGAAACAAACAGAGGGCCATCGCTTTTTTGAATGAACTGCAAGTTTGCTTTAAAATGTTCATGAAAGGCAAGAGGCTGGTGATTCTAATAAATGAGAGGGACAAATTATTAAGGCTGTGCCGTTGTAGCCTGTGAGCTAGAAAATGTTAAGTTAGGAAATCAATTTAAAATTTTACAACATGATATCATATAAGTTTTATTTGCTTTTTTATTTCATATGAAATTTATAATATTATATAAATTTACTTTTTTTTTTATTGCATATAAACATTCTAAGATTTTCTTGGTTAAAGGACTCAAAGTTGGTTAAGATACAATCAAAGAACATGTGAATTGGCAGTTGAACTACTCATGAATTTGAGGTGACGATATCTGTTGGTATCTTCTTTTCTTTTCTAGAGGAATGCTTGCACTAGATCACCAAACCTGGCATATTGCATCAATTAATTAATTGCTCTTTAATAATTGGGCTAGAAAGCATATTTCAACTAATAAAAGCTTAACCCTCTTGAGGCTCTAAATTTAAGATACAATACTTGAACTTAAGATTTATACTTTATAAAAAAGCTATACTTTTTATACAGCACATTATGTACCAAAAAAATAAATTAGGTTATAACTTATTTCGAGTTATTTTTGTCTTTCAAATCATTTGTCGTACTCACGTAAAATTTTTTAAAAACGAATCCATGATTTTATATAGATTATTGAATCAAATCTATATAAATTTCATAGGAAGCATGCAATTGATTGGAAAGTCATCTGTTTGGGAAGTGTCAATTATTATGGCTTATAAAGGTAAAGCTTATAATACAACAAACTCCAAAAGAAAATTTTCCTTTCTTGGCAGATCTTGGGTCCATTGACAATTTGCCACGATTCTAGAATAAATTCTTCTGTACAAGGAGATATTTCTGATAAAAATGCTACAATGTACAATGTTTTATTTTAAGTACACTATTTTGTATATTTGATTTGGTGTTTTGTGATTAACTTTTATTTAGGAGTTATGCATGATTCAATATGTTTCTACTTGCTTAATATCGCTTAATATTGTAAAAAATATCGTATATATGAGATTAACTTATTTATGATATCCAATTGTTTG